CAATAATATAAATTTCGTTTTTTTTTTCTAAACTTAAGCTATAATATGTTCGTAGAAGAAGAATCTGTCAAGTTTACGTCTACTGTCACTTCAAGTTTCCGTCAATCTTCTGTTGAAATATTTTTTTTTTCACTGGAGTTAAATAAGAGTCTAAAAATATTAGATTCGTTTTGAGGAAAAAGCACTTTTCATTAGTTTTGAAAAAGCTTTCGCTTGCTTTAACGTGTTTCAACTAGTGTAACCATCTCGGCAATAGTCATAGAATTCTATTTAGTTCTCTATCATAACCAAAATTTTCCCTAGTATTGGTACATGAGCAGAAAATGAATATGTATCAAGCAACAAACAAACCGAGTTGTTTAATGCAGGTGACTAAAAAAAGTTATTGAAAGTGTAAGGAAAAAAATGGTTGAAACAACAGAAGTATTTGTGAACCGTGGGACTGATTGTAGGAAAAAAAAGTCGGTAAAAAAAATCCCAGTCACATTTTCCTTGGCAAAACTTCTATTTCTTCCCAATATAAAGAGAAATAAAAAAAAAAAGGGAAAATCTTTCTTAAAGAAAACAATAAGTGGAGAGAAATAAATGGAAGACGCTATAAAGACGGTAATTAGAGCAGTAGCCGTTGATTTTCTGATGCTAATTGAAATTTAGTGAAACGCTGATGAGCGTGTGGTGTGCAGGGAGACAGAGAAACATCGAAAAAAGCGATAAAGCTCAAGAGGAGCTAAAAAGAAAACGACAAGAGGGGAAAAAAAGAAAGCAAACGATAATGAAAAAGAAAGCAAACGATAATGAAAAAGAAAGCAAACGATAATGAAAAAGAAAGCAAACGATAAAAAAGGAGAGAAAAGAAGATAAGGTTCAAAGGATATAGGAGAGGAAAATTGGTGGAAAAAAATCCATTTAGATTCTCTAATAAGAGGAAAAAAAGATTAAAAATAGACGAAATATAAGAGCGATGATGATTAAGAACCGCTGGTAAAGAAAAAAAAAGAATAAATAAAAATGAAAAGAATTTTAAGAAAGGCAGAATCCCAAATAAGAGAAAATGTTGAAGGGAATGAAAAAATATTTGTGTAAATGCAACAGGAGGTAAAAATGACAGGTATAAAAAGCAGAGAGAGAGAGAGAGAGAAAGAGAGACATTTTAAAAAGTGAATGAAGAATAAAGACAGAGAATGAACTTGACAAATATAAACGTTTAAAGAGCAGAATAAAGAGAGATGGTGTACTTAACACGTGGAGCATTTAAAGAGGCGAATAAAGAGAGAGAGATCATAAATATGTATATTGAAAGACGTTAAGTGAAAGAGAATTAGACAAGCATGAAAACTGAAGGAGATAAATAAAGATGGAAAAATATAAGTTGATGACTCGAAGGGTGTGTGAGAGAGATAGAGAGGGTGATGAATATGAATATTGAAAGAAGACAACGTAAAGAGAGAAAGAATGAGTGTGGCAATATATATATATATATATTGTATAAAAAAATTCCAAGATGATAGAACCCAGGTAGAACTCAATGTCCAGAACAGAGTAAGGATATAATAAAAAGGCTTAAACACTAATATTCCATTTGTCAAATTTTCTTAATTACAAAGCGGCCCTTTTAGTAAATGCCCTTCAGTTTTAGTTTCCCCCGCCCCTTCTCTCACCCCAACCCCTTTTTCTTTTCTTTTCCTCTCCCTCCCTCTTCTTCTGATCTTTAAGATTAGATCGTCTATTGTGTCTGTATGTCACCACAAAATGTATCCTTCCGGTTACATCTTTAATGTATTAGACATCCGACAACATTCATATTTCTCTCACTTAAACCGTCTTTGACTCCTCTAAAAACTTCTCTGTTAAATTTTATTCCCCAACTTCTCTCGTCTGTTATCCCTCTCTATAGCTCTAACATTTGTCCCACACTCTCATACTTACTCTCTAAATTTTATTTTTATTTCCGAGTTGTTTTTTTCTGTTTTCTTTTGAATTTGTAGGTCTGATGAATTGGATCGTATTTACGATTCCAATGGAATAAATTATGGCCATGGAATATTAGTGTTTAAGCCTTTTTATTATTATATATATATATATATATATATTAGCGTTAAAATGTCATTCGTTCTTTCTAACAAATTAATTGACACCAAAATGAATATTTCCTTAGTGTTTCGTGTTGTTTACATTTTGAGCGTTTTTATTTAATAATTACCGATGTACAAATTACCCGCACCAATCGAGGGATTCTCTCTCTCTCTATATATATATATATATATTAGTTTTAAGGTGTACTATATTTATTGGATAAAGTGCTCAACATATATGTAAATATAAAAGTGAACATTTAAGTTAACACTCAGAGGCGACAGGCTGTTAGATGCTAGACACAATCGTCAGGTGGTCTGATAGCGTCTATCATGAAATAGCGTGTACCCTCCGGGTGTTGACTTCAATGTTCACTTTTACATTAATTATATATATATATATATATATACACACAACCAAGCACAGTGTTATTTGGTAAACAGAAAAGTTGGAAATTAAAAGTTCTTAATACAACGTATAAAACGTAATATAAATAAAGAAAAATTAAACCCGAAGAAAGTTAATTTTCACCCTAAAAAAAAAAAATGAATAATTTTCAGGCAAAGTTAAATCTTTCAATCTGACCTGAATGTTCTTCAGGTTCATTTTTTATTCATTATCTTACATATATATATATATATATATATATATATATATATATATATATATATTCACGAGTGCATGTTGCCTTCTGTCGGACATACTTTTAATATCTCTCTAAAAGGAAAATATATAGTGAAGTAAGAATTTCTTGTTACTCCTGCACATAGACTCGGGAGTACATCAAAATCATCTCAGTATAGCTTCTGCATGTTTCACGCATTTAGGGATCAGCAGAGATCAGAATGATTTTCGTAGGTTTGGAACCGATAGTCACCATGCTATTTTGAATCCAATAAACGCTCTATCCCTTATACTGAGCATTATTCATAAATGTAGCAAATATTAAACTATATATATATATATATATATATATATATATATATATATATATATATATATATATACGAAAGTTTACTCAATACTCTTTAACCCAATTGAGGAAACCTTAAAAATGTAAAGGAGTAAACGTTATTTGCTAAGATTTTTGGATTGATTCCAACCACATGTACATGTTACAAGTTTTTCTTTATCAATGTACCATACAATAATTTATTTTAGAATTTGCATCTCCTGACAAGAATAATTGTACTAGTATCTGTCACGTTAATGTCGCTTTTATGGAAATATAAATCTGAAATGTTAAAACGAATATTTAATTTGAAATTCTTCGCATCTGTGGCATTATTGTGGCACTGGTATTATGGAATTAGGATTAAATTTTTTTAATGCGTAAACCCTATATAAGAATTGGAAGGATTAAAAAACATTCACATTGTTAAGGTGAAATCATGAATTGAAATATGAAGTGAGCAAAAAAAGATGTGTTTTTTTTTTTGATAACGAGGACGTAATTGTCGGACAAATTCTTTGACATTAGAAAAATGGAAATAATTTTAAACATCGAAAATTTTTTTTTTGTCAAGGAATGTATTGTTTTGAATAACTGACCGCTTTGGTTGAAGGTCTGTGTCGTTTCTCCACAACTGGAGAAAATAATTCATATGGATGTTAATTGTCGACCGGGAAACGAACTAACGTATTACTCACAAAGCCAAAATATAAAAAATGGGATTTTATTCGGTCATATTGAAGACCGACGACAAAGAAAATTCTTTGGCACAGAAAAGATGTGTAAAGACAAATGTGTGTTAACGAAAAAAATATTGTTTTAGATAAGCGGCCGATTGTCGTCAGAGCATAGAAAAGCATGATGAATAAAGTATGTTGCCGAAGAATGTATTGTTTTTGAATAACTGAACGCTTGGCTCGAGAATCAGTGTCGTTTCTCTAAGGTTGGAGAAATTAATTAATTGTTATGTATATTGAGTCCTGAAGTGCTGTAGAAGTCTGTCTAAATGCATATAAACCGAACGTTTAGTTAAAGCCAGCACCTAAAGGCACGAGGATCCACAAGAAGGTAGCAGATACCGGAGGAGGACTTGTGACCCGCTCCCAAGCTTTAGAAGTAAGAGACATAGTGTCACGATAGAGATTTTAACGAAAAGGTTTAATTTTCTTGAATCAACTACTACATAAATCAATTGAAAATTAATCCAGTGACCTTATTCGTTATTTGTATTTTCACTAGACTGAGCGTTCTTTATTGTTTCGAAACACCGTTCTGCAACAGCTCGATTCAGCGTTTAGTTAAGGACGGAAATTCTGTCTTCTTTGCTGTGATTAAAATAATACAATGTGGGGCAGAGCAGCTGAAGGAATGAAGTTTTTAGAAGATAACCATCAGGTGAACAGCGGCAGTGTTGATCAACGTGGGAACCACCCAGGATCGTGTTGGACCGGCCGTGTTATATATCAGATCAGTCATTGAGTCAGCAATTCTGTTCTAAGAAATTTAGCCCGACAACAAATCAAATGCATAGAACAAACGGGGAAGACATGGTCAGGATATAAGAATATAAGACAGAAGGATGAAGATAAAATAAGTATAATAAACTAATAAAACAAGAAAAAAGCGTCATACACTTAATTCCATAAACAAAATGTTAATTGTAAGATGAGCCGTTTCCATACAGGAATCATTCGTCATTCATTAAGTTCCTGTCAGTTGAAATTCATAAACAAATTTCATATTTAAACAACTTTTCAGAAAAATAGTCTTCATGTTCACTGTTTCTAGTAGTGATTGTCGTTTCTTTTCAAACGTTTTTAAAGATAATTTGGAAAGCCAACACCTTAATTGTATCATTATTTTCCCCTTTTGGTTTTATTGTTATTGGAAGTCTTCAAGGGATATGGTTTTTGTTATTTGGTAAAGTTTTTTGAATTGAAATATGAAATTCAAAGGAAATACATGCATAAAAAGTTCAATACAAGTCAAAGACGAGATTAAAAATAGGCGACACTAGGAGAAAATCAAAAAAAAGGCAAGCTTCAGAAAGAATTATGAACGAAAAGTTCGGACGCAAGCGAAGGTCAGAAGAGAGAGAAATGTAATAGGTAAAAACAAATAGAAAAACACGAGTCGAGGAGACAAGCGACATATGCATTGGAAGGGAGAAATGATTAATGAATCGAAAACGGAATGGAAAAACTAAAAAAGATGAAAAAAAAAAAAAAAATTGAACGAAAGAAACTGAGAAAAAGTGATAATTGAGTCGGCGAAGAAAGTGAAAAAAAGTGAAACGATTCGAAAAAAGTGTGAAAAAGTGATACGAGTCGGCGAAGAAAAAGTGAAAAAAAAAAAGTGATACGATTCGGCGAAGGAAAAAGAGAAAAAAAAAAGTGATACGAGTCGGCGAAGGAAAAAGAGAAAAAAAAAAGTGATACGAGTCGTCGAAGGAAAAAGAGAAAAAAAAAAGTGATACGAGTCGGCGAAGGAAAAAGTGAAAAAAAAAAGTGATACGAGTCTGCAAAAAAAGGAAAAAGAGAAAAAAAAAGTGATACGAGTCTGCGAAAAGAAAAAAAATGAATGAAAAAAAAAAGGAAAAAAAAAAAAGTGATACGAGTCTCAAGGAAAAAGAGAAAAAGTGATAAGTCTGCGAAGAAAAAAATGAATGAAAATAAAAGTGATACGAGTCGGCGAAGGAAAAAGAGAAAAAAAAAGTGATACGAGTCTGCGAAGGAAAGAAAAAAAAGTCGTCTGCGAAGGAAAAAGAAAAAAAAAAAATACGAGTCTGCGAAGGAAAAAGAGAAAAAAAAAGTGATACGAGTCTGCGAAGGAAAAAAAAAAAAAAAGTGATACGAGTCTGCGAAGGAAAAAGTGAAAAAAAAAAAGAAAAAAAGATACGATCTGCAAAGGAAAAGTCAGCTGAAGGAAAAAGAATGGAAAAAAAAAAAAGTGATACGTCTGAAGGAAAAAGAGAAAAAAAAGATACGAGTCTGAGTCGGTCTGCGAAGGAAAAAAATGTGAAAAAAAAAGTGATACGAGTCGGCGAAGGAAAAATAAAAAAAAGTGATACAGTCAAAAAAAAAAAAAAAAAAGTGATACGAGTCTGCGAAAAAAAAAAAAAAAAGTGAATGAAAAAAAAAAATAAAAAAATACGAGTCTGCGAAGAAAAAAGAAAAAAAGTGATACAGTCTGCGAAAAAAAAAAAAAAAAGTGATACGAGTCTGGCGAAAAAAGGATACAGTCTGCGAAAGAAAAAGAAAAAAAAAGTGATACGAAAGAAAAGAAAAAAGTGATACGAGCTGCGAAAAAAAAAAGAAAAAAAAAAAAGATACGAGTCGGCGAAGGAAAAGAGAAAAAAAAGAGATACGAGTCGGCGAAGGAAAAAGAAAAAAAAAGTGATGCGAAAGAAGTGAAAAAAAAGTGATACGAGTCAGAAGGAAAAAGAAAAAAAGTGATACTAGTCTGCGAAGGAAAAGGATACGAGTCTGCGAAGGAAAAAAAAAAAAGTGATACGAGTCTGCGAAAGAAGAAATGAAAAAAAAAAGAATGAGTCTGCGAAGGAAAAGAAGAAAAAGTGATACGAGTCTGCGAAGGAAAAGAGAAAAAAAGTGATACGAGTCTGCGAAGGAAAAAGAGAAAAAAAAAGTGATACGAGTCTGCAAAAAAGGAAAAAAGTGATACGAGTCTGCGAAAAAAAAGAAAAAAAGATACGAGTCTGCGAAAGAAAAAAGCAAAAAGGAAAATGAAAAAAAAAGTGATACGAGTCTGCGAAGGAAAAAAAAAAGATACGAAAAAAAAAAGAGAAAAAGTGATACGAGTCTGCGAAGGAAAAAGAGAAAAAAAGGTGATACAGTCTGCGAAGGAAAAAGAGAAAAAAAGTGATACAGAGTCTGCGAAGGAAAAAAAAAGAGAAAAAAGTGATACGAGGTCTGCGAAGGAAAAAGAAAAAAAAGTGATACGAGTCTGCGAAGGAAAAAAAAAAAAAGTGATACGAGTCTGCGAAGGAAAAAAGAGAAAAAAGGATACGAGTCTGCGAAGGAAAAAGGAAAAAGAAAAAAAAGTGATACGAGTCTACGAAGGAAAAAAGAAAAAAAGTGATCTGCGAAAGAAAAAGCAAAAGTGATACGAGTCGGCGAAGGAAAAAATAGAAAAAAGTGATACGAGTCGAAGGAAAAAAAGAGAAAAAAAGTGATACGAGTCTGCGAAGGAAAAAGAGAAAAAAAGTGATACGAGTCTGCGAAGGAAAGGAAAAAGTGATACGAAAAAAAGAGAAAAAAGTGATACAGGTCTGCGAAGGAAAAAAAGAAAAAAAGTGATACGAGTCTGCGAAGGAAAAAAAGCAAAATGAATGAAAAAAAAAAAAAGTGATACGAGTCAAAGAAAAAGGAAAAAATAGAAAAAAAAAAAAAGTGATACGAGTCTGCGAAGGAAAAAGCAAAATGAAAAAAAAAAGTGATACGAGTCGGCGAAGGAAAAAAAGGAAAAAAAGAGATACGAAAAAAAAAGAAAAAAAAAGTGATACAGTCAGCGAAAAAAGGAAAAAGAAAAAAAAAAAGTGATACTAGTCGGCGAAAAAGAAAAAAAAGATACGAAAAAAAAGAGATACGAAAGTCTGCAAAATGAAGGAAAAAAAGTGATACGAAAGGAAAAAAAGAAAAAAAGTGATACGAGTCTGCAGAAAGAAAAAAGAGCAAATACGAGTCTGCGAATGAAAACAAAAAAAGTGATACGAGTCTGCGAAGGAAAAAAGAGAAAAAGTGATACGAGTCTGCGAAGGAAAAAGAGAAAAAAAGTGATACGAGTCTGCGAAGGAAAAAAAGAAAAAAAAGTGATACGAGTCTGCGAAGGAAAAAGAGAAAAAAAACGAGTGATAAAAGAGAAAAAAAGGATGCTGAAAGGAAAAAAGAAAAAAAGTGATACGAGTCTGCGAAGGAAAAAGAGAAAAAAAAGTGATACGAGTCTGCGAAGGAAAAAGAAAAAAAAAGTGAAGAGAAAAAGAAAAAAAGTACGAGTCTGCGAAGGAAAAAGAGAAAAAAAAGTGATACGAGTCTGCGAAGGAAAAAGAGAAAAAAAAGTGATACGAGTCTGCGAAGGAAAAAGAAAAAAAATAAAGTCTGAAGGAAAAGAGAAAAAAAAGTATACGAGTCTGCGAAGGAAAAAGAAAAAAAAAGATACGAGTCTGCGAAGGAAAAAGAGAAAAAAAAAAAGATACGAGTCTGCGAAGGAAAAAATAGAAAAAAAAAAGTGATACGAGTCTGCGAAGGAAAAAGAAAAAAAAAGATACGAGTCTGCGAAGGAAAAAAGAAAAAAAAAAATACGAGTCTGCGAAAGAAAAAGAAAAAAAAAATGAAAAAAAAGTGATACGAGTCTGCGAAGGAAAAAGAAAAAAAAAATACGAAGTCGGCGAAGGAAAAAGAGAAAAAAAATACGAGTCTACGAAAAAAGAGAAAATGAAAAAAAAGTGATACGAGCGAAGGAAAAAAGTGATACGAGTCGGCGAAGAAAAAAAAAAAAGTGATACGAGTCTGCGAAGGAAAAAGAAAAAAAAGAAAAAAAAAAAGAAAAAAAAGTGATACGAGTCTGCGAAGGAAAAAAGAAAAAAAAAGATACGAGTCTGCGAAGGAAAAGAGAAAAAAAAGTGATACGAGTCTGCGAAGAAAGAAAAATGAATGAAAAAAAAGTGATACGAGTCTGCGAAGGAAAAAGAAAAAAAAGTGATAAAAGAGTCTGCGAAAAAAAAGAGAGAAAAAAAGTGATACGAGTCTGCGAAGGAAAAAGAGAAAAAAGTGATGAGTCTGCGAAGTCTGAAAAAAAGTGATACGAGTCTGCGAAAAAAGAGAAAAAAAGTGATACGAGTCTGCGAAGGAAAAAAGAGAAAAAAAGTGATACGAGTCTGCGAAGGAAAAAGAGAAAAAAGTGATACGAGTCTGCGAAGGAAAAAAAAAAAAAAAGTGATACGAGTCTGCGAAGGAAAAGAGAAAAAAAGTGATACGAGTCTGCGAAGGAAAAAGAAAAAAAAAAAAGTGATACGAGTCTGCGAAGGAAAAAAGAGAAAAAAAGTGATACGAGTCTGCGAAAGAAAAAAGCAAAATGAAAAAAAAAAAAAGTGATACGAGTCTGCGAAGGAAAAATAGAAAAAAAAGTGATACGAGTCTGCGAAGGAAAAAAAAAAAAAGTGATACGAGTCTGCGAAGGAAAAAGAGAAAAAAAAGTGATACGAGTCTGCGAAGGAAAAAAAAAAAAAAAAAAAAAAGGAAAAAAGAAAAAAAAAAGTGATACGAGTCTGCGAAGGAAAAAAGAGAAAAAAAAGTGATACGAGTCTGCGAAAAAAAAGTGATACGAGTCTGCGAAGGAAAAGAGAAAAAAAAAGGATACGAGTCTGCGAAAAAAAAGAAAAAAAAGTGATACGAGTCTGCGAGGAAAAAGAGAAAAAAAAGTGATACAGGTCTGCGAAGGAAAAAGAAAAAAAGTGAAAAAAAAAAGTGAAAAAAGAGAGTCTGCGAAGGAAAAAGAGAAAAAAAAAGTGATACGAGTCTGCGAAGGAAAAAAGAAAAAAAAGTGATACGAGTCTGCGAAGGAAAAAGAAAAAAAATGATACGAGTCTGCGAAGGAAAAAGAAAAAAAAGTGATACGAGTCTGCGAAGGAAAAAAAGTGAAAAAAGTCTGCGAAAAAAAGCAAAATGAATGAAAAAAAAAGTCTACGAGTCGGCGAAAAAAAATAAAAAAAGTGATACGAGTCTACGAAGGAAAAAAAAAAAAAAAAAAAAAAGTGATACGAGTCTGCGAAGGAAAAAGAAAAAAAAAGTGATACGAGTCTGCGAAGGAAAAAGAAAAAAAAAAGTGATACGAGTCTGCGAAGGAAAAAAAAAAAAAAGATACAGAGTCTGGCGAAAAAAAAAAAAAAAGTGATACGAGTCAGCGAAGTCGAGTCAGCGAAGGAAAAAGAAAAAAAAATGATACGAGTCTGCGAAGGATAAAAAGCGAAAAAAAGAAAAAAAAAAGTGATACAGAGTCTGCGACGATACGAGTCTGCGAAGGAAAAAGAAAAAAAGTGATACGAGTCTGCGAAGGAAAAAAAAAAAAAAAGTGATACGAGTCTGCGAAGGAAAAAAGAAAAAAAAAGTGATACGAGTCTGCGAAGGAAAAAGAGAAAAAATGATACGAGTCTGCGAAGGAAAAAAAAAAAAAAGTGATACGAGTCTGCGAAAAAAAAGCAAAAAGGAATGAAAAAAAAAGTGATACAGTCTGCGAAGGAAAAAAAGAAAAAAAAGTGATACGAGTCTGCGAAGGAAAGAGAAAAAAGTGATACGAGTCTGCGAAGGAAAAAGAAAAAAAAGTGATACGAGAAAAAAAAAAAAGTGATACGAGTCTGCGAAGGAAAAAGAGAAAAAAAAGTGATACGATACGAGTCGAGTCTGCGAAGGAAAAAGAAAAAAGTGAAAAGAAAAAAAAGAAAAAAAAAGTGATACGAGTCTGCGAAGGAAAAATAAAAAAAGTGATACGAGTCTGCGAAGAAAAGAAAAAAAAAGAGAAAAAAGTGATACGAGTCTGCAAGGAAAAGAAAAAAAAGTGATACGAGTCTGCGAAGGAAGAAAAAAATGAATGAAAAAAAAAAAAAAAAAAAAAAAAATGATACGAGTCAAAGGAAAAAGAAAAAAAAAAGATACGAGTCGGCGAAGGAAAAAGAAAAAAAAAGTGATAATCTGCGAAGGAAAAAAAGAAAAAAAAGTGATACGAGTCTGCGAAGGAAAAGAGAAAAAAAAAGTGATACGAGTCTGCGAAGGAAAAAGAGAAAAAGTGATACGAGTCTGCGAAGGAAAAAGAGAAAAAAAAAGTGATACGAGTCTGCGAAGGAAAAAGAGAAAAAAAATGATACGAGTCTGCGAAGGAAAGAGAAAAAGTGAAAAAGTCTGCGAAAGAAAAAAAAAAATGAAAACAAAAGTGATACAGAGTCTGCGAAGGAAAAAAAAAAAAATACGAGTCTGAGGAAAAAGAAAAAAAAAGTGATGCAGAGTCTGCGAAGAGAAAGTGAAAAAAGAAGAGAAAAAAGAAAAAAAAAGTGATACTAGTCTGCGAAGGAAAAGAGAAAAAAAAAAGAGATACGAGTCTGCGAAGAAAAGAAAAAAAGTGATACGAGTCTGAAAAAAACAAAGTGAATGAAAAAAAAAGTGATAAAAGGAAAACGAAAAAAGTGATACGAGTCTGCGAAGGAAAAAGAAAAAAAAAAGTGATACGAGTCTGCGAAGGAAAAAGAAAAAAAAAAAGTGATACGAGTCTGCGAACGAGAAAAAAAGTGATACGAGTCTGCGAAAAAAAAAAAATGAATGAAAAAAAAGTGATACGAGTCTGCGAAGGAAAAAAAGAAAAAAAAGTGATACGAGTCTGCGAAGGAAAAAGAAAAAAAGTGATACGAGTCTGCGAAGGAAAAAGAAAAAAAATGATACGAAGGAAAAAGAAAAAAAAGGATACTGCGAAGGAAAAAAGAGAAAAAAGTGATACGAGTCTGCAAAAAAAAGAGATATACGAGTCTGCGAAGGAAAAAGAGAAAAAAGTGATACGAGTCTGCGAAGGAAAAAGAAAAAAAAGTGATACGAGTCTGCGAAGGAAAAAGAGAAAAAAAGTGATACGAGTCTGCGAAGGAAAAAGAGAAAAAAGTGATACGAGTCTGCGAAGGAAAAAGAGAAAAAAGTGATACGAGTCTGCGAAAGAAAAAGCAAAATGAATGAAAACAAAAGTGATACGAGTCGGCGAAGGAAAAATAGAAAAAAAGTGATACGAGTCTGCGAAGGAAAAAGAGAAAAAAAATGTGATACGAGTCTGCGAAGGAAAAAGAGAAAAAAAAGTGATACGAGTCTGCGAAGGAAAAAGAGAAAAAAAAGTGATACGAGTCTGCGAAGGAAAAAGAGAAAAAAAAGTGATACGAGTCTGCGAAGGAAAAAGAGAAAAAAAAGTGATACGAGTCTGCGAAGGAAAAAGAGAAAAAAGTGATACGAGTCTGCGAAAGAAAGAGCAAAATGAATGAGGTCGTGAAGAAAAAAAGTAACACGGAGGCGAACGAAACTAAAAAAAAAAAAAAAAAAAACAAACAAACGCGCAAATGAAATAAACAAAAAGAAAAGTGTTCTCGTGAAGGAAAGAGATAACATGAATGTAGAAAAATATAGAATGGAACTTCAAATGAGGATGGAAAGAGATAAATCACCTTGAATTTTGGTGTTTAGGGTGGAGAAAGTGAAGAGACGCCTCAGTAGGATTGGAAGTTAAATCTTGAATTCTGGGCAAAGCCGATTAGTGACACGAGAAAGGGGCAGATGTGGGTTAAAGTGCGAGACCAATGGTGTCAGATGAGACACTACTTGTCGGTGGATTCTGTTGATTGCGTTAGAGAAGAGGTAAAAGAATGATGATGGTGGCGATTGTGGCGGTTCTCATTTTCGCTTTTCCATCCAAGAAAACGCATCGGCTTCATAAAAGAGGGAAACCTGATTGATTGTTATTGATTTTAGGAATATGTGGTAAAAAAGAATGTATTTTTCTTCTGCATCGTTTTCACAAAGGTGGAGAAATGCGACCAACACTCTTACAACAAGCTGAGTTAAAAAAAAAAATAAAAAAAAAATTCTGATGGTTAGAAAAAATGGTGTTCAGAGAAAGTACATTTTATTGCAGTTCATATGACAATCACTGCAGTATCTTTGATATTTTCCTCACTGAAAAACTGCAGTTTTGCAGGGTCTCGGGTTTCAACATTAAGAAGAAAACAGAAATTCAATTTTAACAAATTTAACGGCAGGTCACAAATTTTTATATTAAGCATCACTGATGATATTTCCAATATATAATTTAAGTTTTCAGTTTACCTTTTTTTTGTATGATGCATTATAAGCTGTAACAATTGTACACAGATTATTACAGCTATTTAAAAAAAAATAAATGAAATTTCACATAGCTTGTATTTTTTTAAAATCCAATTTCACAAAACTACTAAAATAATCCCGAGATTAAAAATTGCAAAATCCAAATTTTAATGAGCAAATCTCCCTATGTTGCTAGAATTATTTCTTTTGTCAATGCGGAGACATACTACTATTAAATAAGGAATGGAAGAGTAGGCGTAATATCCATGAACTATTAGGCGCGTTGCCATAGTGATAAAATTGTTATTGGAGAGAACACCACTTTCACCGTGTGCTCAACACTCATTGCTCTGTACTGAACTAAGTAAAGAAAATATCAGTTATAGACTAATAGAATGATGTGAGTTACCTATATCAAGAATGCAATCTGAGTAGAAAATGTCTGATGTCAAACGAAGCTATTCCAGTGAAAGAGCCATTATCAGAATATTGTCCGATACTTGAATGTTGAAGTATCAGATTATGAGTGATGTAACTTCGTTCATGCTAATATATACTCAATGGACGAAATACTAATAATTTAATGCCAGGGATTTGAAGAAGGTTCCGCAAAGTTCAGGTGGTCTATATTAAATTGGCCCGATTTCTTTTAGTGTATATTTAACGTAATACGGCAAAACGGCACATCACAGTGCAATTTCTGTTGGGGCATTTTTTGTCTAAATTGCAACCTAAGTAATAGCGTAGACAATTTCGTTCGCGCTCACCCCAAACATTATACTATTTTTCGCTATTTACATTATTCGGACTATTGTCCTCAACTTTGTCGCCATATTTATTACAACGTTTCGGCCGTTGTACGCTCCGACCCTCTTTAGGTGGTTGGAATGTCGAAATGAACCCTTTATTTCGCTCATTGGGGTAGACTCTTCTAGTTCCACGTGCCATGTCCAATAGATGTCATTTATTAGTTATCTCCTGTTAATTCTCCTCACCAAGTACTCCAAGATCCAGTGACAGGGCTCAAAGAGAGTGAGTTCAATACCTGGTTAAGGCGGTGGAATAAAATAAATAGTACGAATAATGTAAATAGTGTGCATAATACCTCATCTCAGAAATATAGACAGATACTGAATACTATTTTTGTTAAAAATATGGAAAAGTAATCAGATTAAAGAGAAAAATAAATTAGGAATAGTGAATTGCTGAATAAAAATGAGTTTATTTTTTAAAACGCATTTACATACATACGGTGTTTACATTTCACTACGAGGTAGAAGAAATGCAGAGGAGGGGGGGCAATAACCAGGACGGAGAGGTCTCTAGGCGGACTCAACAAAATAGGGTAGGCACTGAGATCAACTCACAATATATTTGTGGTCCTCCGCTGTTGGTCAAGAGAGAAGACAGACACCATCAATCTATCTGGAAGCAGACTGAAAGTTAATGAGCATGAAAAACCAGAGAAGCATCATACTGGATCAGTCGAGGTCAGAATCAACAACGGCCATGCGTGCCATTGAATCACTTCAGGATGGGCGTGACCAGTGGGCGATTAAATCGACAAACACCATAAAGATACCAACACAGGATACAACCATCGGAATATGGGAAGTTCGCCTCCACTATACATTCTGAGCAAGAATGAACGGACATGACAATGCCAGACTTCCTGAGAGCTACTGCAATTAGATCTGACTGGAAGAGGTTGTCAAATGCTTCCGCCTTCAGCTCCTCCAGACGATTGAAGCAATCGAAGAACTGATGATAATACAGAAATATTGTTTTATTTTACAAAGAAAACAAATATTTTCGTGGTATAATTAGTTGATGTATTTTTTTTGTAACATGCTAAACTTAAAGACAATATTCAGAAATCAGATCTACATGAATACTTAATATATATATAATGAAAAATAAAAGAACCTAAATACATACTTTGTAAATTTAGGTTTATTTTACTTTTGATGTTATATATTTAAAAACTGCTGGTAGTGAATACTCTATTTGAAATTTGAGCTAATTAGTGCCATTGCTATTGTTATCCAGTAGAAAAATTATATTCATATTTATAGTTATTTTGCTATTTCATCATGAAACCAATAAAATGTATGTGTCTTTATTCAAAAAATTTTCGAAATTGTAAGCTACTAATTTAATTTAATCCACACTGAATGCATGCTGATGAGGGATTAGTGACTAATAGAGTTACATTTGTCTTAAGGTTAACTGAAGGTTGATTTATGATAAATTCAAATGTGCATTTGACATCGAATATAAGTGCAGCCATCAACAGCCATTTATTTCGAATTCAAGTTTGGTAAAATGTCTTTAAATTCAAGAAAGCTTATACTTCATTTTCAAATAGTGAAACAACTTTTGAGTAATATAAACACTATGTACTGGTTATTGTTAAGATGACTTGATCAATAATATTGTAAGAAATTCTAAAAACAATTTTATCTTATACACACAAAATTATATATATATGTGAAGAGAGAGAGAGAGCTCCCAAAACATTATATATAGCTCAACCCACATTTATTTATATATATATATATATATATATATATATATATATATATATATATATATATATATATATATATGTGTGTGTGTGTGTAACTGTGGCATAAATAGAGAAAAATTATTTTTATTATTACCACTCATGATGATAATAAAAGTCAAACTGAAAAATAAAGGTGAACTGAGACTAAAAAAAATGGACATAGTGTATTGAAGAAAGCAAAAAAAAAAAAAAATAACATCACTACAAAAATAGCCATTTTGTTTCAACACACCTGATGTCTTATCAAGCGATGAAGTTGATACACCATTACTAGGTAAGGCACCAGAAGTGTTGAAAGGGAATGGATATTTTCATAGTGATGACATAACGTGTTTATGTTGTCATTCTTGAATTATATATATATATATATATATATATATATATATATATATATATATATATATGTGTGTGTGTGAAAGTGATCGAAGCATTTACATCATATGCTTCTGCTTGCTCACTATCACTGTAGAAGCGAGTTATTATAAAAATGCTGGAAGTGTTCATGGACATAGTCAGTACATAGTATCGAAGATTTGTTTTCACAAGGAAGGCGATCGTCCTGTGCGAAAGACCGAAATGACTCCCAACAGGACACTACTGAGTTGAGTCCGTGATTGGAGATTATTTCTTGATCTTATACCACCTCTGCAATTTCCGGGTCACATCATTCAGACAGATGCACGCCCTGACAATGTAGCGTGGTCTGATTCAAAGAAATGTGTCCGCCTATTAAAATTAACGGTTCAGTGGGAGGAGAACAGAGATGAGGCGCACGAGTGAAGGAAAACTGCTATGAATCGCAGCGATCCGACTGCGTGGAAAAGCGATGGACTTGTCATGTCCTGCCTCTTAAGGTCAGCTGCTGTGGATTCCTCAAACAGTCAATCTTTTCCTTCTTTTTGAAGGTAGGCCTGTCCGGAACTTGAATCAATGTTTCACATCATCTCCAGACCAGAGCTGAACAGGCATTGAGTTGGATCTAGTCAAGATCCAAATAAATAGTTAAATAAAACCATGTTCGCACCACACTGCTACTTCCGACGTGAAACACATCTGTTTACCTTTTATCCTACGTCATTGATAACGGCCGCTACGACCGCGTTGTGTATTTTAACACAACGTTGCAAATCTCAATCGCAGCTGTAAAAAGAAATGGCAAGAGACTGACATGTATACAAAAACAATACCGTGTCCGGTGGCAAAAGCTGTTGGTAGTGCCAGAAGAAGCATTGCCGCTTTAACTGTGTTACCTCTCCTTGCTGGCGGCTGACGAGGGAAGTATATCGCACGTGTTTTCACAAGTTTTATATAGAAAAAAAAAAAAGTAGAAAATAGCTAACTAATCCCAAACATATGAACTTCGCATTACTGTCATCTTGGTAACTCCAGAACAAAACATCATTAATTTGACCATCATAGATAAAAGTCTCTGACGCTAAACTCCTTCCTAGACTTTTTCACTGACATGAACTACCGGCTACATCAAATCAATAGCTGCATCTACTGTATATAAAATTTTGGCAATGTATCGTGCCAGGAAATTTTTCTTGTCAAAATGCATCTTACATATTTCCAAATCTACCATTCCTTCGTGCATTGAATACTGTCGCTATATCTGGTCTGGTACTCCTGCTCTGCATCACTAAATTCTTAACAAAATCCAAAGTATGATCTGTAATGTAATCGATTCTGACAAGTCATCTCAACTTCAGTAGCTTTCTCAACGACATTAAGTAGCTTCACTCTGTCTTTTGTACAAATAATTTCATGGCAACTGCTCTGACAAATTTTTACCCCTGGTGCTAATTTAAGTGTGCTACTAGACTGGCACCATGATCCCACCATTTTTCTGTTGAAATAGTTAATTCAACCGCCACTTCTAAATCAACAATTTCTTTTCTCGCACATCCCGTTTTTGGAATTCTTCCTTTTCCATGGATTCCTGATAAATGCAATCTTCAAAAATTTAAATGCAACTTTATTTACCATCTTCTGCCTTCTTGGACCCAAGTCATCTTTTGTCTTTTCCTCAGT